TACATTATAGGGCACAAATTGCATTTTGAACAAAGCACATTTAATTACTCATAAAATCAATTAAGAATTTATCGTATTAATTATTTGATCTAGTTTTCTTGGCTTCGAATATTAAATCTGCATATCTGTGTGAGAACCAAATTGATTAAAATCGGTTTACTTCAAGACTAATAGTTATACAAATGTAAGTTAGTTAGTTTTTTATGTTAAATTAAAAACCTTAAGCTGTGCAATACCAAACTTGATTTTTTTAGTAATAAATACATATAGATTAAATATTTATAGGCAAACATGCATTACAGTTTTTTAATTTATATTGACAATTAATCTAGTTCCAAACCACTTCTTATGTTGAGTTAAAAATTGTGCACATAAATTAACTGTACAAAGTTTGATACTCGTGAGAACTGTAACTGTTATCCACAGTTCTCATATATGAATTGACTTAAGCCATACTAAATAAAAAAATGACGCTTTCATGCTTTAACTAAATAATAAAAAATACAGTTTTATAAGTTATATATATAGATTTTTAAATATATTCTATTAAGAAACTGTGAAGAGAAACACTTAGTACAGCTCAATAAATAAGTATCCGAATGAATGATAATTGATAATAACAATTTGTGGAAGATTAATATGCTTCGTATAAAATATTTATGTTTTTTAAGTTGTATTATAGTTAATTTAATTATTTAATAATATTAAAATACATTCTAAAATTGTAAGTAATTTCAAATTAATTAGCGGTGTAAAGATTCTGGAACTTAACAAGATATGACATCAACATACACAGATAACTTTGACTTCTTAGGAAAGTCTGAATGTCAGTTGTACAAGAATCTTTCGCCTAAATAGAGCTAATGGCACAAAGAATAGAGCTCTACAATAAGAATTTCAAGAGCTGCTCAAACTCTCAACTATGAACTATCGGTAATCTCCATTCGAGGAGATATATTCATAAAACTAAAACTCAAATGGGCAGAAAGGCAAGCTGAATGGGTCTAAGGGTGATCAATAGAATGACTACGGCTCGCCACGGGATCAGCGTAGATATTTGTTTAAGAATGTCAATACTGATTATTATTAACGATGATGACATTAGGAATACCATGGAAGAAATAATATACATTACAAAGACCATATATCCGAAATTTTTCAGAGCTGAAAATTTCTGTAAAAAAATCAAATATAAACATTTTAAATGTTAATTGCAATCTCTCAAATCAAATGCAATATATATTCCATCAGGAAGATAAGCTGAGCTTTAAAGTATACTTCTATATAATCACCTGAATTACTTATTATCAGAATTCAACCAAACTCATATTACAATGGATCATTCAAGTGGTTACAGGCGCTATTGAGTAGAAGTTCCTTAGGCACTAACTCGTGTTTCATCAAGCAAAGAAGAAGCATAATGTTAATACATAATATGAATTTTAAATTATTAAAGTAATATAACACAAGATATTCTAAAGAGATAAGTTGAAGATACATATTCAGCAATAACTTTAATTCACCAAATAATAATGATGCGTGCATGTGTTTTTTTAATTATTTATTTATTTAAATAAAAATAAATCAAATATTTAATTATTTTATTCTATTAATTTTTTCCATATAATACAATATTGATAAATACTAATATTTCAACATGACTTATTAAGAAACTTGAACTAATGGCACAACTTTTATTTAATATAAATACAATTTAGTGAAATGATTTGTTTAAATTTGTTTTTTATTTGTGTTTTTAATTTTTAAATTTACATAAATTAATTAAAACTGAAACTGTATATATTTTTTTTACCACTTCACGATCATGCATTAACTTATTTATAAAAATATATTTTAAAATTATTTATGCACATGATATATAAAAAATGTTCATTAAAATTCAAGCCGTTAAATAGGCCAAACTGAGCCATGAAATTGTTAGCAAGGTTTTATTTAAAATTCATTGGTTTAGTATTTCGCTTTCGTTGTACTTTAAATGTTTTATTGCCATTATGGCAATTTATCAATTAGTTAATACTTTTATTTATTTTACCATTATATTCATAATTTGATGGCTTCTCAATGGCAAATCATATTTAAACGCTATTTAATGCATTTACTTGTTCAATTTATATTTTTTGGTTTACAAAGTGTAAATTACTCTCAAATATGTTCAACCAATTAATCTTATGCATAGATAATTTCAAAATTGATAGCAAATTACCAAATACAATTTTATATATTATTCGTATTAAAATAGATTTAAAGTATTTAGTTTCATTTAGAGTATTTAGTGTATATAGTAATTGAAAAAAATTAATTACAGTTTTATAATGTTAGTTATTTGTTAATAATTAATGTTACTAATTTATTAGAGTTTTTAAAAAAAACTAAAAAATTTTTTTTAAAAGTTTATTCAATTTTACAGTTTATTAACTATAACTATTTCTAATTATTGTAATTTTTCTGCTTTGTAAATTAATCATTAGTAATCTTTAAGTGCAATAACTTTATTTGTTATTTCAATTATTTATCTTTACAATACTCTTAATATCTGCAGTATTTATATTCTTGCATTATTAAATTATGATTGTTTTACTTTTTTATTAGAGACAGCAAACCACCCAAGTACGTATTGGATTCGAAAAGCAAATATTTACGACTTGCTAATTTCACTAATCAAACGGCATACATACTCGTGTCTTTACTTTTGAAATTTTTAAAATTTAGTAGTGTAAAACTCATACTGAAACAACCAGTTAAGTCAGACTTGTAGGCTTCAATTTATTATCTTAAGTTTTTATTTTCCTGCTTATTTAAAGTTGAAGTTGTACATGTGGCATTTGCGGTTTTGCCAATTATACATTACGTATACGCAACGTTGGACGCACATTGGCCGCTTTTTGTCGCAACCACAACAAGAAAGCAAAAGTCAATAGTCGGCTTTGGCACGTTTAACCCATTTCACAGTAGGAGGCCTATTTTTACTTCATCTCTTCATTTACGCAAGAAATGAAAATGTTTTAAGCCGTCGTCAGCATAGGTGAGCTTAAATGTGGTCAAACCAGTGCACTGCAGCGGCACCGCGAACTGAAATGCAATGCAACGAAAAGCGAAACTAAGATACAAGATACAAATGCGTACATACGTACAGCATATAGCATGTTTATGGGTATATGATATCTGCAAAACAACAAGTGAAAAACTTTCACTTATTTAACAATGATTATGATGTTGCATATAATATTTTATGCTGCTAATAAATACAGAAACACAAATAAAAAAAAGTTTGTTTACGGCAGCATAGGAGCATGGATCAAGCAAAGTGATTTTGAGATGAGAAATAATAAAATGAAGTTGTGTTAAAATTGTTTAAAAGTTTTTACAATACATGTTTGTCAGTTTTGACAGCTGTATTTAGGCATTTCTTCATTCGTTATGCGATGCAAGTTCAAAGGTAAATATTTGTTGATTATTTTTATAGCTTGAATATTTATAGCAAAATATGAGGTAGGTGCATGTTCTGTTTTCTTCGTGATTTTAAGTATTTAATAGTAATATGTCGATAGCTTTTATATTACGATGCTATTTTCAGATGCAAGTTGTTATGTATTCATAATTTTAATTCATGGAAAATGCTAAACTTCAAGCATGTCATTCCTTACTTACTTACTTAGTTGACCATTACAAATGTGAGTCGTCGAGTACCCTCTGCTTAGTTGCTTGCTGTCGCCAGTTGGTTATACTGAGTGTTGGTCACCTGGTCCTTCCACCAAAGTTGCGAAGGTCCTCTACCGTGTTTTCCATCTGCGGGTACTAAATCAAACATCCTTCTAGCCGGAGTACTTTCTTCTATTCGCACGACATGACCACGCCAGCGAAGCCGCTGAATTTTTCAGCACTTAACTATGTCAATGTCACGATATAGCTACTGTATAAGCTGCTCATTCCATCTAATACAATACTCGCCGCCAACGCGCAAGATACCGTAAATCTTCCGAAGAATTTTTCTCTCGAATGCTCCTAACACCTTCTCATCACTGTTGGTAATTGTTTAAGTTTTTGCATCATACAG